TGAAAGTAATCCAGGTTTTGTTTTTCCTGCAGGTTTAACGAAAAGTGAATGTTTTAAGTGGAGGAGTAAGAGGTACATTGAATTTGGAAGTATGACCACAGCAGCAACAGAACTGTGGAAAAATTCAAGGAGTTATTAAGATCTTTAAAACTCAATTGTTTAGAAATTAAGCACATAGCTCAAAAATGACTATTGGCACAGCTGGGTGAGTTGCCATTCTCATCATATACTTCATTAAACCTCTGCCATATGTCCAGTCTTAACTTTCCAGTAGTGTCCCCAGAAACATCCCCTCGTTGCCATTGAATGACCATCTTTACTGTTGCTCATCAGCACTCGACAATAACTTGGTGCTTGATTATGAATTACTGGAAGCAGAGGTGAACTTCTGCCATAAACATTGTTGGGGATAGGTCTGAGTTCTTGGAAAAGGAGGATGCTGAAGGAGATGATCTTTCTCTCCCATGATACTGCAAGCATCCTAAACTAAGAGCTTTGACTTTCTTAAGGCTGAGCTGCTTCTCTCACGCTGGAGGAGCAGAAGAACATCTGGTCTTAGCTACTGTTTTTCAACTGTATCATCTTGTGCCTCACTAAAATGAATGAGAAACACATGCAAGCTGTATTTTCAAAAAGTTGTATTTCATTGATGCAACTAAAGTAGTGATTTTCACATGCAATTAGATACACAGATGTAGACAAGCAACAATTTACACACACACTGCATTTCCAACGAGGCCCTATGTACATTCCCATATGCTTTACACATGCAAAATAATGCACATGGTGAGGAGGCATGGGAAAGTATTTACATGTGCAATTGTATCTTCCCACAGCAATGCCTGGGAATTAGAAAGGACTAAGTTAGACAATATTTTGGATGTAAAATCTGATGACACTTTCAATTCTCTTCTGCAGCCCCAACTGTAAATAATGCTAATTATTACTTAAGACCTGCTACAACGGCACTTCCCCAGGAGCTTTGAAGATAGTACAGGGACTAAGAGCTTAAATAACCCCCTTGGTTTTGGAGTAGACATCAGTATCCAAAGCCGGTTAGAAACGGACTGAACACAGACATCCCCAAGGCATTCATGAAGAGTGAAAAAACGACGACCAACATTGTACCGGATTCAGCAAGTAAAGATCATAAAACAAAAAACTTTTTTTATTATTTTTTCATTTTTCAGCGCCATCACATCTTGAGTCCTTTTGGAAAAACTGTGGGAATGTTTCTCTACTGAAAAGGTAAAAACCAAAGTACTGTTTTCTGAAAAGCACTGCTTCCTAGGAAGCAGAGTGAGACTTTACAGACCCATAGAATCCCCGACTGGTTTGTGTTGGAAGGGACGTTAAAGCTCATCCAGTTCCAAGCCCCCACCACAGGCAGGGACACCATCCACTAGAGCAGCTTGCTCCAAGTTCTATCCAACCTGGCCTTTGGGAGAAGGTGTCTGTGGCCATGTCTTAGCCCTTACCAGTGCTTGCTCTCCTGCAAGTCCCCTCCTAGGCTCTGCGTAGGCTCCCTCAATCTCAGCTCTCCAGGTGATAGGACATGAACATCATCCTTTTCTTCCTTCAACATGTGTGAAGGCAGGGTGTGGTGGGGATGAAGGTTTTGTAGTGGTTGCTAATGTGATAATAGGAGCCATTGATGGAAAAACAAATCATACCCCTAAGAAAATGTTTTTTGTTTTGTTATTATTCTATGCAGATGATTGAGTCTTTCAAACCCAGATTGGTCTGTGAGATGATCTAGGACAGATCTGTAAGAACCACTGAAAAAAAATCCAAACCCTAATGACATTAAAAGATTTGTTGGTTTGAGTTGTTTTTCAGCCTATGCTGCCAGTGACTGTGGAGCTGCCATGGAGCCAGCACCATGAACTTGCTCATTGTACTCTTAAGTCTTCAGTATTGAGTGGGTTGGGTTGTGGCTTACTGTGATGAGACCATGCAGTGTCCTGACCTGTGTAGAGATCTGCACCAGCTGTGACCCTCCCAGTGTCTGTTAAAATGAGCTGTTAGGATGCAGAAGCATGCATGGTGTCAGCCGTGTAGGGAGATAGCAGTAAGGACCACTGAGGGCAAGACTGGTCAGTAATAAGAGCTAATGGTCATCTTCTCAAAGCTGGGAGAAGGAATGGGATGGCCTGAAGAGGGCCCTTGGACAGGAGCTGACAGAAAAACATAGGAGAGGTTGGGGATGGGTCAGAGCAGGCTTCTGGGCCAGAGGAATGGGGACAAGTGGGGGTTGAAGACAGTGGCAACTGGGTTGGGGGGTAGAGGGTCTGTGAGTCATGGCCGCCTGAGTTTCCAACTGCTGAATGCTTAGATGTGCAAGTCCTTACACCAGGAATTACCTGTGCAAACCGTGGCTGAGAGCTTGCAACAGGCTTTTGCTTGTTTTTCTAAACAGATCATTCATGTGACCCCTTCAGTCCTTGTTTCTGTTAACAGGCCAAACAAGTTCTAAGTGCCAACATGCTAAAGAAGTGGAAAAGTTAGTTTATAGAAGGGAAAAAAAAGGGGAAGGAAAAGAAAAACAAAACCCAAGTTATTCCCACAATGTTTACATTCCCATGTTTTAACCACAGTATTCCCAGCACACAGATTTTTATGGTGCATCTGAAAACTAACCACAATGCAAAAGAATACGGAAACCAAAGCAGGGATGGAGACACGGAGAGGGAAGCTGGGCAGTGAGGAGCAGGGAATGGCAGCAGTGCCGGGCTTTGCTGCCTGCCTCACACTCCCCTCTCCTGCAGTCCCAGCCAGGACCTCCCTCTGCAGGTGACCCAGGAAGCAGCACACATTAAGGTTGGGGAGAGCTGTAAAATTAAGTTATTTAAGGGGTTTTAGGTCCCTATTAGCAGGTTGAAGTAGCAGGGCATGACCAAAGACAGGATGAAAGCTGGGCTGGTTCAGCCTGGAGACGAAAAGGCTCGCAGGAGACCTTAGAGCAGCTCCAGTGCCTAAAGGGGCTACAGGAAACCTGGACAGGGGCTTTGGACAAGGGCCTGTAGGGACAGGCCAAGGGGAATGACTTGAACCTGCCCGAGGGGAGACTGAGCTGAGCTCTTAGGCAGAAGCTCTTCCCTGTGAGGGTGCTGAGGCGCTGGCACAGGGTGCCCAGAGAAGCTGTGGCTGCCCCATCCCTGGCAGTGTTCAAGGCCAGGTTGGACACAGGGGCTTGGAGCAAGCTGCTCCAGTGGAAGGGGTCCCTGCCCGTGGCAGGGGTTGGAGCTGGATGAGCTTTAAGGTCCCTTCCAACACAAACCAGTCTGGGATTCTATGATAAGTAGAAGATACCTGCAGAAGACCCCGAGCTTGTTCAGCTGCTCACAGGCTGTACTCCTGGCTGGCCTCAGGTAAACTCGGAAAGGTGTCTGCACTAACAGTGAGCCACACTCGTGTGCCCAGGAGCCCCTCGTCTGAGCCGGTGTAATGCCGAACGGTAGCCAAGTGCAGTGAAGTGTTTTCTAAGCAACTCTTATTTTTATTCAGGAGTTGAGACTCTCTGGGAAGATTTCCCAAATTAAATGGAAAACTAATTCCTTCGAGCCACCTGAGCATGACTGGCATGACTAATGGTGAGGTGGCTACCTGGAGCTGCCACAGCCTGTCCTCTCTGCTCAGTGTGACAGCTCAGCAGCAGTGCTTTATGAAATGACCAGGGTTATTATGTGGCTCTCAAACCTCTGCCTCAGCCATGGACCAGGGGGAGGCTCTCAGCTGGCTGGAAACAACATCATTTTATCAAAACCAGTCAGGAGGTAGCAGAGTGCATCAGCTGTGAGTCAGGGCCGCTGTGTTCTGTGCAGTTCTTCTATGGCTTTTTGTATTGCATTACTTCGGTTGTCATCTGGGGACTCTCATGCCTGTCCTTCATGGGTTTGGATCTAACAGCATGCTTTGCTGCAGAGAACAGAGTACGAACGCAAGCACTCTGCATCATGGTCTAAAACAGCATCAGTATGTTTTTTGTTACATTGCTGTCATCCTGGCTTCTGTAAAGACTACAGACCTGCTGGCTTAAGACATTGCATGTCCCCAGCGCAGGAGACAGCCATTGCTGAAAAGGCAGTCAGAGCTATCATCACAATTATAAGGAAGAGAACAGAGCTTTACATTTTCAAGAAAGCAATGCTCCTACAGCTGGGGCTAGGTCATATGTTGCTGGGCATTGAATTAATGTAACCAGGTTTTCAGAAATGCATCCTGAACCTCCCAGATTTGCATTTTTCTGGTGTAACCTGAAAGAATTGCACAGATCCACCCTCTCCACCAGCATCACCATGTCTCTTAGCACTGACATTGCATTGCATCTGTTGAACAGCTGGATGTCAGGTGGCCTGCTGAAAGCCAGAAGGGACTTTGAGTGTATTTATGTATGTTGTGTGCCCAAGAGACTTGGCTTACATTTTTGCAGGGTAAATTGTCAGTGTATGCACACGTTGAGTAGTACAGTATATGCACCTCAGGTATTAGAGCCCCCAGGTCTATGTGCTAGACAGCAGACTTGCAGTTTGTGCTCACGCTTCCATCCCAGGCTAGCTGCACACATGCTTTGGGAGCATACATCCCAATTCCCTCTGGGATTACCTGTTAAGAAATAACACCAGCTCTAACATGTTTCACATCATGTGATGCTGCCAAGCACCAGGGCTGTGCAGGTTCCTGTTCAGGTGAGGTGAGTCCTGCCTCTGTTGTTGCTCCTGCTGGGGAGAAGTGTTTGAAGGTACTCAGTGTGATATCCAGTACCAGCATCTGTATCCCTGCAGCCTGTTTCCCACCACAGCATCCTCTTCAGACACAATGATAGTAGTAGTCACTGTGCTAACAAAATGTTGGCCCCAACAGTGCCCCAGGAGCCACTTCCCTGGGCAGTGAGTCCTTCCCGTGTGATGGAGCTCCTTTGCTCTCCAAAGGTTTTGTCAACACCTCAGTATTATTAAAATGTTGGTTTTAAAGTCAATTTCCTTTTCTTTTCTTTGTAGTTTATAGAGTGTTGCTGAAGACCTTCTCCCAGGCTAAAATGAGGATCAGTTCCAGGTTTGCAGTCATATCAACAGTAGGATGGTGATTTATTTCTAAGGTGCCTGTGTAATTACCCATACCCCACACACACCTCCCATTCACACTGAGTTTCCCTGTAGCTAATGAGTCTTCCCTGAGAGGAAGAGGACTGGTTGGTTTACTAAACTCCCATGCCTCTAAAATGAACCCAGCATCTATATAACAATGTCCCAGAAGCTGTTAGGTCTTACTGTAAATGGAAATGGCTCATCTTTCTTAAACTGAACATTGCTGCCAAGTTTTGCCAACAGTATCATGTCAGTGTTCCTTTTTTTTCCGCTGTTTCTGTTTTTCATCAAGGTGTTTATGGATTTGTTTTGCCATTATAGGTTCTGTTATCTATACCAGCATATTGTCTGCATGAGGCAGTGTTTGGCGAGTGGTGCTGAGCTTACAGCCCCAAAAAGCCACTCCTGAATATTTGGTTATCTGCAGCCAGCATGTGCTGATACTAGGAAATGTTTGGAGCAGAGGTTACATTTTGAAATTATGAAGTGCTGGCTTTGGTGCCAAGCTTAAGGTAAGCATCTTTGCCACACAAGTGTGGGATGAGCTTTTTCAACCTAAGACCACCTTTGGATATCTTTGTAGGATTACATTTTAGCATGAGCTACATGAATATGGGTGCATCTATACATTACAAAGAGGTTATGCACAGCAGGACTTACCAGGGTTCCTGGAGGAGGTGTGAGGAACCCTTGGGTAGCCCATTAGAGCCACCAACTCACCAGTCCCATTTGTAGCTCATAGCCCAGCGCAGGGTTGGAAGCCGAAGCTGGCAAGTGGCTGGTGGCAGCAGTGCCCTGGGTCCAGCTGGTGGCCAGCCTGCATGCAGAGCAGCTCAGGGCAGCCTTTGAACTCTGTCTGAAGTGAGCTGTACATTGGCCCCCAACCTAAATGAGAGCAGCCTGGAGACTGTTCTGAATTACCAGACAGCTGTAGCCCCAGAGGCAGCACACATCTGGTCAGGCTCACATCGGGGGAGCAGTGCTGGAGGTATTACTTTGGCTCTGTCTCACAGCTGGACTTCCCTTTACTGGGGTGATCTTCTCATGGCTGCTGATACCAGGATTGGGCTATCAGAGCTGAAAAGTCACTTCCATCTTTGCTTTTCTGGAAATAGTAATCCTGATGTAAAGTGGTGTCAGTCTCCAGGCCTGCAGTCAGCCCTCTGACCAACATGCCTTAGGTAGGATCACCCTTCTCTCCCCAGCACCAGCAGCTCTCTTTTGGATTCCTTCCAAAGGACCTGCCCCAGCACTGGCTATTTTTCTGCCTGGGGTGTGGATCAAAACCAGCAAAATCACATCCAGCTGAGCTCCAGGAGCAGCCTGAGTTGAGCCACCCTCTGCTGATGTCCATGGTGTTGTCCATCCTTTTTGCTGGATTTCTGATGGAGGTCACCCAAACTAAGATCCCTTTACAACCTTGCTTCCTTCCTGCAGGGCTGTGAGGAAGGATCTTAAACCCTTTATGTTTAAGCTATCTAGACCCTAGGTACTGTTCTGCATCTGTACTAGCTTTCCAGTTTAAAAGGTTTTAAGGTTTTTACATTTTGGAAATGAGTTTTTGAGAAAGCAACCAGGGGAAAACAAACAACAAACACACCACCAGTGCGAACAGTCACAGCCCTGATAATGTCACTTCGTCCTGAAACAGGGCATGAACAAAGCACATGGCAGCTCTGGAATGGAATGAATTCTGGTGTGGATACAAACCACTTAATTCACTTATCTGCAGGTAACTTAGCCACTCCTGAGGATGAAAACCTTTCTAAGGATACTTCCCGTCACACTATTTGGATGGAGAAGGAAGAGCATGGGCCAGTCTGACTGGCAAAGGGCAGCCCATATGCTCAGTGTCCCAGTGAGCCATGAAGCCCTTAGCTTGCACAGCTCAGTTTACCCCGGGAACTAAGCAATAGCCAGTCTTGATGTTGTTTTTCTACTCAGGAGAGAAGTTCATCTTTCCAATTCAGTGCTCCTGAGTATTCTGAAACTCTCCAACTGGCAGGAAAATCACATGGAAGAAGTGGACAGAATCAGGTTTGCTGTATATTCAGATCAAATGGTATTATTTCAGATATATAAACTAATGTATTTCCTTTTGTAAGCATAATTCTGAGCATCAGATATAAGTTTTGGAGGTTAAATATTTGGGATCTGGGAAAAAAAAAAATGCCCCTACTGGTGCAGTGCTGTCAATGTGACAGCCAAGCATCAGCTCCAGATGTGCTCTAAAGATGTTGCTGTGAAAGCCTCCTGTCCCTAAACCAGGCATTTCCAATTAAAGGAGAAGTGTTCAGTTTTTACATTCTCAGCCTCATCAAGTGGGAAACAGGATTGTTCACATAAAGGCTGAGTTGCTGCCCACCAGGCTCCGCTCTGTCACTGATTTTTAAAGATAAGAGAATATTAGTGATAACAACTTTTATAGACATATTTGCGAGATCACTTCAAAAATACTATACAAATTAAGTGTTTGCAGAGACAATATATTGTAAATGAACAGCAATAATGAGGAAGTGGCAGCACTGCCAGAAGATACTGAAAATTTCAGAGTTTTTGGGAGAATTTTTGACAAATCAGATGAAAGCTTTTGTTCTGCCACTCCAGTGGTGCCTTGGAAGTTGGGAGCTAGATGGTGCCATTTATAGAATCATAGAATCCCAGAGTGTTAGAAAGAACCTTAAAGCTCATCCAGTTCCAACCCATGCCATGGGCAGGGACACCTTCTGCTAGAGCAGCTTGTTCCAAGCCCTGTCTAACCTGGCCTTGATGGCACTCCCTTGATGCCACTTCCAGGGATGGAGCAGCCACTAGTTCTTGGGTCAACCTGTTTCAGTTCCTCTCCAAAGCACTACATTCATCTCCCAATTCTCTTCACCCATCTCCCAGTTTGTTTGTTTTGGGTTTGTGTGTTTTTCCCCTGGAATTGAGGCTCTTAGATTAAAAAGGAACAGTTTCAGGAACTCAGTTACCTCAGAAGATTGAGACATTGTATTATATCCATAACCCTTATTGCAGATGTTGATGTGAAACATCCGCTGTATGTTGCACCTGGGTTGCACATGGGACAAGGCAGTAAAGCACATGGCCCTGCAGGACACCCGTGGTGGAAGAGGGCTCATTTTGCCAGGCTCATTTTGTATTGGCCACCTTCCTGATATGAACTTAACAATCTCTGCTGTTTATTTCATTGCATGTTTAGAGCTGAATGGAGCTCCCAGGAAATCTTGTACAATTGAGCTGACCTCAGCAGACCTGCCCAATAGAGCAGAACTGGGCTGTTTGCATCTGCTGTGTGATGTTCTTGGAGTCCCCCAGATGAGAGGTGCTATGGAGGTATGGAGAAACTGGATTTCTTTTCAAGTGCTGGGGTGCCTGGGAGGGGAAGGAGGGCTGTGCATGGCTATGTCAGCCTGGGGAGTACAAAGTGGGTTCCCATATGGTCAGTTTTTAGGATTTCTCCTGTTTCAAATCTGCATAAATGGCCCACTCAAGGAGGCCAAACTATTAAAAACAGCTGACAACGAAAAAGGGGGAGGTGAACGCCAAGCAAGCAGCAAGTAAACTACATAACTGAGCTGACAGATGGCAAATTAATGTTGTCAAATAGAAAGAAGTACATAAAGCTAAGGAGCACTATGACCAGATTGCTTTCTTGCATATGAAGTCTTTAATCATATGGATATCCTTGCTATTTTTACTCTAATGAGATTGGGAAAGAAAAATAAGACAGAGACATGAAATTAAAGATGAATTTGCTTTGAATCCACAAGAAATTGAAGCCCTTGCAGAAACAAGGAAAATTATTTGCCAGGCAAAATTAGTGTCACAAATGAACTTGTTTGTGCTTCTGAATTTTGACATGTTTATTTTATTGGTAATATTGCTGTAGCAAGAGAGTACTATCCAGTGTAGATAAGCACTCAAAGGAAGTCGAGTGAAAACTGATGTTCATGAAGCTTTTCACCCTTAGGCAAGACCAAAAAACCTCAACCCACCTAAACTCTTCCATCTACTCATTGGTTAAAGGAAACAACAAAGAAAGAGCAAAGCAACATTTCTATTGTAAGGCACAAATGGGACAACTGGGACATAAGATAACTATTTGCTCATCATGAGGTTTATACTGAGTATATGAATTCGCTTTGTTCCATGTATTTCTTTAGTGGTAAATGTGAGGATCTTTTAATCAGGAGCCTTATGTGAGCTCTGACAACTGTTAAGGTATTCACACCTCTGATTAAAGGGAGAATCGGCCTGTATCTGAGCAAGGAGCTTGGTAAACAAATACATCAATCATGGGAAAATATCCCCCAGTATGTGTGTGGTCAGAGCAAGCCAGCCAAGGCAGTTAAAAGGAAACAATTTTCCACAGTGCTTGGAGGTAGGTAATATAAAATAATCCATAATTAAGTTTAATCGTGGCTTGTACATTTGCTATAAGCTGTCTCTGATGCCATTTCATTGATACTACAATCCCATTTTGTTTGGAAGTGGCAGATGTAACAACTCTGGAGGCCCGATTCATAGCTGATAGGGCTCAGGATAGCTGCATCAAGCTCTGATAGTATGTGGACTAGATCCTCAGCTAATAAAAATGGGTTTGCTTAATGGAGCCAGTAGAGCAATCCAAGTTACAGGTAGGAGCCTGGTGTAGCTCTTGTGCTGTTGATGTAAATGGCCAGATCCCAAAACCTAAGTCTTTCTATTGACTTAAGCTAGAAGCTGCTACAAGCTCCTTGTGAGGACAGTAGTTCTTTTAATAGAAGGGGAAGGTAGTGCCTGCTGCTTGTAAAGAGGCACTTACCCTTCTTTTACTCTGCATCAGGCAAGGAACAGCTTCTTAGGGTTGGACCTGGATGATAAAAGGTAGGCTTTCAACTCAAGATTACAGATGGTAAAAATGTCATTGGTGGCCAAGGCTGTTTGCTGAAATTAAGAGGTCTGCTGCCCCCAGTCCATGTAGCTGGTGGCTTACAAAATGGATTTACCTTAGCAGAGTGTAAAGACCTCTCATTGTTACAAAGGGCCTTCCCATCACTACATTTGTTCTAAGTTTTATGGGAAGCGGACAGTCCTTGTTGTTTCAGGCTGTCCCATAGTAGGCAAGTTGTGCCAGGTAAATACAGAAGCATGAGAGGGAAATGGTGTTCAGCCTCTGTGGTTTGAACCTGACCCATCTGCAAGTGCTCACCAGCTCAATCAGGGGATGGCATTCAAAGCCAGTGGGCAACTCTAGAAGCTGCGGGCACAAGGTGCTGCAAATGAGATACCTGCTGAGAGTTGGACTTGATGATCTTAAAGGTCTTTCCCACCCTGGCTGATCCTATGACTCTAGGAGGAGACAGCAGTGATGGTGAGACGAGAAGCTTGTCACTGAGGACCAGCACCAGCATTAGCAGCTTTGCACACTTCACTAAATAGTGACAAAGACTTCTTTTCTAAAGGGAACAACTTACCAAACTTTCCAGTTCTAACAGATACTTCTTGCAGCATGAAGCCAGCAGCAGCAACAGGTCTCAAGCAAACCTTAACCTGTCCATCCCTTTGAAAAGTGTATACCAGAACATTAACATATGGGGAGCTGATGTGGGAGGATCTGGTAAACCATCCTAACCCGATCACTACCACCAATACTGATGCTGGGAGAAAGTTTGTTTACTTCACTTTTGCACCAGTAATGTGTAACATCTCAACCAGTAACATCAGGCTCTCACAGGCTTTTAGTAAATCAGTGCCTTCAAGAATGATACATTAAGGACATTCAGGTTTAACAGATCTATATACAGAAATATGTTCTGTCCCATAAGCTGTGCTAATGGGCTAAATGCTGAAATCTTAGTCTGACCCTAACAAGGGTCATCTTAGTGGCCTGTGACCACTGGGACTTCATAGGAATGTGGCTTCATTTTCCCCAAAATGTCAGACTTCTTGTGTGCCTCTTAAAGAGGATATTTCAATATGAGTAATCCCAGGGCTGGGCATGCTGTTTAGAACTGCTGCTATATATTACAAGTATATAACGTTAACTTCAGTGTAATGCCACAGATCTTTTTTCTTAGTGTTTCAGCATTTAACTAAAGCCAAGCAAAGTTTTGCAGGCAGAGAGTTTTGTTTCCCATTTCAGAAAGAAATCCGGTTTGGAGCAAAGTGGGAACTCTTCATTAATCAAAACATGCCATTGTAATACGGGCAAAATAAATGCTCTTATGTACTGAGATGGCATTTACAGAATTTAATTTATAATCTTGACAATGAAAAAACACCATCCTGAAAACCAAAATTCATTGAAATGCAAAGTATCTGATCTGAATTGTGATAAGAAACTTGGAGAAAATGTTCTGGGGAGGGGACACAGTTTGAAACATCTCTTTCTGCTCTGGCAGTTCTTTGGTAGAGTGAAAAATGGGTTATCCACAGGCCTCCCCTTTCTAATTAGCTGAGAGAATATCTGTTGACTGTTTTTCAAACTTACCCTCATGGCTTTATGTTTAAATGCTGTTTCCCAGTTTTTTTGTCCAGGCCATCATATTTTCCAGGTCCCTTTGAATTCAGACACATCTGGACTTAGGCAAACCTCCTTCATTTATTTTCGCTCTGGACTTGGTGAGCGATGCCAGGGTTTTTTGTGAGCGTGTGTGTGATTTGCAAGCTCCAAGTCTGCAAGTGCCGAGCGTCCTCAGCATCCCCCCAAGGCTTGTGACTCCCCATGGCACTTGGGGATCGACTCTTGATCCTGTATCACTGAGTTTCCATACAAAAATCTTGCCCTCAGCCTGCAGGCAGAAGCAGGCAAGCAGCACCAGACCCCAGGTCAGGCCAGGTCCCTCATTAGATGCAGTTAATGCAAGTGCTTTGTTTTAAGCATGTCCTGGTGCAGATTTCATTTTAGGCATGTGCTTAAGGACTTCGGTGAATCAAGGCTTGAGGCTTTGCAGGACAGGGCTGTTCTCCCAGCAGTGCTGGGCACTAGCACAGTGGGAAATCGGTTTTTGTCCAGGCGTCCAAGGTTGATCATGATCCAAGTCACAATAAGCAGCTTGCAAGCAGCAGAAAAACCAGTGCAGTCCCTCAGCTGTCCCCAAGGTGCATTAGTTTGTGAATCCGGAGGGCTGTAGGTAGTAATCCTATTTATTGCAAATGACAAGGCCTTGGAGAAGGACTCGGAGGTGTCAGCCGCCCTCACTTGCACTTGACCCTGGTATGGGATGGACCTGTGCCCACCTGGCAGAGCAGCTACTGCCTCCATGCTAGTCCGTGGCTTTGGGCTAAGAGCTATGCATATAAAAACAACAGCTAATAAATAAAGCGTTTGCTATTTCTTTGGCAAAAAGAGGAAAAGCTACAAAGAAAACACCTCCAATAGATGTTTTTTATCACATGGTTGGATGGGAGCTGAAGGTCTATCACAAAGACGCTTCTTTGGCTTTGACACTAGATTTTAGTCGGTTCAATGGAATTTTAATGCTATGGCCAAATATAACATCCAATAATGAAAAACTTCAATGGTAAACATTAACACAAACACGCATCGAGTATATTAAGCATCTTCTAGAATGCAGCAGGCCAAATCTGGAAATTGGGAACAGGTCCCTGAGCTGGCACACTATAAAAGCAGGCTTCAGTTTGCCATCTCCAGGACCTGTCGATGGATTACAGTGCATATCCGAGTTAGGCTCCATTATGTGTTTAGGTTAAACTCTGTGTAGCATTGATTCGGTTATTTATTTTGGAAACAAGGAGCCGGTGTTCCAACACAGGTGCCTAAATGGGATGTCCATGTAGCCCAAATCTGCACTTAAGGGGGGACTAAGTGCTTGTTTTGTAAGTCTGGCTACTGAGGCCAGCAGCTGAGCCCAAGCCTTGCAAAGCCAGCGTTGAAAACACAGCCAGATCTTTCAAAACTTGGGGCCTGCAGCATGTGAGTTTTTCAACAATGCAGAATCCCCTGAACTCCCACAGGGTGCAAGGGTGAGGACCACAGGCAGCGAGTCCCAGCCCAGAACTATAGATGTTGCCCCTGACCTATAGACTGACCAGATCACCCACTTGTTTAAGTGTGCCACACCAAAACAAGCCGAAAACCTGCCACATCTCAAGATCTGTCCAGCTGAAGTGGATTAATTTGTTTCTCTTTGACTGTCTAGGCTTTAAATGGTTGCTACCATGCATCAGTGGCTACAAAGCATTAGTTACGGGCTTGGCTGTCCTGTTTTGGGGGACACTGCATGGCTTTTGAGAGTCCGATGTTGGTGAAAACACACTGGATTGAGGAGTGGTGCTTCTGCTTTTCCCAGTAAGTAAACCATAAAAAATACAATAAACGTGCTCTGTGGAACAGTGTCTGCCATTACAGTAATTTCTTAGCTATAGAACCCATTCATGCGTGAACCCCCATAGCATGCAAAGGCACATACTGTCGCCTGAGCATTATATCCTTCTGCAGGCAACTGGGCTATGTCCCAAATGCCAGCTTCCAGCGGGGCTGTTTTCCCCACTTTGATTTATAATTACTGATCACATGGGAGGATCGAGAGGAAAGGCCCAAGCTCTTTTTTTTTTTGTGTGTTCCTTGTTTAATAATTTAATTCGTATTCTGATCTTCAAATCCCAATAGCATCATGTGAAGTAGAGAAACTCGGCAGGGGAGGGGGGAGGAGGGATAGAGGAGAGAGCCAGGGCTTTCTATTTCCATATGGTGAGTCTCTCCTCCTCGCGATCACAGCTTGTCATCTGTCTTCTTTTAAACTTCAGATCCCCTGTAAAAATCTTCCCAGCAAAGAACGGGCCATAAATGTGTCAGAAAGTCAACCCAAGTGAAGAGATTACCATGGGTAATCGCAAAGCATGATTTCATTAGAGGATTTCTTTACACATGGGCATGGACATAAGAGTAACCCGAGCCACGGGAACCGTGTGTTTCTGAAGTAGGGCATAGTGGCAGGAGACTTATTAATATTCTGGAGAGGTAAGTCTGTATATATGATATTCTTTGATACTCCTCTTTCATTTACTTTGCAGGCAAAATGATACATGCTTTTCTTGTAGTCTAGTTGTGGTCAGGTTAAATGGTCAGATTAAATGACCACCTTAATTTACCTTGTTTTAAATAGATAATCACAGAATCATAGAATCCTAGAATGGGACCTTAAAGCTCATCCAGTTCCAATCCCCTGCCACGGGCAGGGACACCTTCCACTAGAGCAGGCTGCTCCAACCCTCTCCAACCTGGCCTTGAACACTGCCAGGGATGGGATATTCATGGGTGGCACAGCAGAGCTACCAGCGCTGTGTCACCCTGCCAGGGACTGCTCAGTGTTAGCAACCCCCAGCAGAAAGCAGGAAATTGATCTAGTTCAGAGGCTTTCAGTAGAGTGCCAGTCTTGTCACCTCCTGATGTACAGCCGTGGGAGAGCAGAATAACACATTGCACCTCGTGATTCTGTGACCTTAATACTGCTCACATGCGATGCTTCTGAGCATCTTTCTTTATTGAGTTACTTTCATGTGAACTGTACTTCAACAAAAAATATGTTAACAGTTTGTAACGTTCACATGCATGCCTCATGCAGCGGTTGCTCACTGTAATGACAGGGACAGCGTTGGCTACAGGTCATTTGTCATGGAAGCTCTGGACATTGTCAAACAGAAGGATTTCTGCAGGAAGGCCTTGCTTTCCTCCTGTGGCTAAGAAAGGTCTGCTCTTGCAGAAGCGGTTTGCATTGGTGGTGGGGCTGTAGTGCCATGGGCCAGGTTGGGTAGCTGGGGAGTGACAATGGGGTGCACAGCCAGAGACCTTAGAAGCTGTGCCACAAACATGGCCTGGGCTGGTGTGACCACATCCACTTCTGTAAGGAGGTGAGTTGGTCATTTGAAACTCATATGGGAGCTGCTGAGTTGGGTCAAGGCGTGTGTCTGATTTTAGCTATATGATTGGCTGCTGGAGGTCCCTGTATAATGTATAAAAAACATATCTTTGTGCCCCACAGAAGACTCCAGAAAAAAGCCATCACTTATTGCTCTCATTGTCTCATAGATACATTGCAGAGAAGATCCAGAAGACAACATGGTCTAGTGGAAGGTGTCTCTGCCCATGGCAGAAGGGTGGAACTGCATGATCTTTCAGGTCTCTACTCAAACCCTTCTGTGATTCTAAGCATCTGCAAAGACAGAAGCAGAAGGTTCAGCAGAGCCAGCCGTGGCTCAGTCCCTCCAGGTAAGATGTTGTGGATAAAGAAGCTCCTGATGAGAGCCTTCCACCTGCCACTGCTTCTGCCCTCCCAGCTCTCACTGAACCACACTGCCCCTGTAGCAGGTGCCTCTTTTTCCTTCCCTTCCCTTCTGCACAGGCTCAGATGAAGATGTGACACAGTATCTTCTGTGGGCAAACCCAGGTCTTCCACCTCTTAGAAACTACACTGGACCTACAGAAGTTAGTGAGGAAACCAAGTGACCACCCTGGACCAGCCCCGACGCTTGGTCTGTGCCAGGGTTTCCCGATGTTACTGCTCTGTTCTGATGAAACATTATACAGAAAGATACAGGGAAAGCATTATGCTCACAGCCCTTGCCAACAAGTTATGTTTTAATGTAATTTAACTGTAATCTCAGAGTGTTTTTGTTAGCTATAATTAGTAAAATATGTCTGTTTTCTGTGTTCCTTGAAGACGTCTGAACTCCTGCCAGTTCCCTATAGTTTTCCTGACATGCAGTGTAACAAGCAGACCACCAAAATGTATTTACCAATAACTGTTTATTTACATTCCATGAAATCTAATAACATTTGCTGCCTTCATTCGGGATAAATGCTGGCCAAAGTGTAAAGCATAAAAAAATAAACACTGCCTTAATTTCTAACCCAGGCCACAGAATATTTGATTTGTGCTCAATTTGCCCTGCCTGTTAGCGTTTTGGCATTCTGCTGCTTGCAAGTTGAAAAAATCCACCAAAAGAAGTTGAAAATATTCTGTAATGGATCTTCCTGTTCAGTCCAAGCCCTTGCAGGGATTTCCTGGACATTTTATTTTTCATTTCTAAAGTCTGCACGAGGCTGGTGTTTTGTTTCTTTGTTTTCAGCTCTCACAAGCATTTGAAACTGTATTGTAGAGAAAATGTCCAGGGCACTAAACAGCAATGGTGGCTGGTGTTGCACCAGTGCCAGTGTAAAGCGTTTCTCATTCTCCCAGAGTCATTGGCTTTGCTGGTGTAAAAATAATCAGAATTAGGTCTGTATCTTGTTACTAACCAAATCTGCTCGTGTTCAAGAAAGTGTAACTGAGGGCAGGATTGTCATCTCAAATCTTAAACAGGTTCCTCTCCTCCTGTATCTGGTTTTGGTTATATGAGTACATGCTTTCTCAGAGCCCAGAAAATTCAGATGGTGTAGGGAGGAGAGGTCACATACAACAGCTGTGGGCGGTATCCACAGCTGGCAAAATCTGATGCAACCCTGTGGCTGTCAGCAGTGCATGGCCCTGGCCCAGCTGAGGAGTGGGCTGGTGTTCCTGACAGGTTCTGCAGCGCCAAGGGGCTCACAAGCACTTGTCTCAAGAGCACTGCAAGAGCCAGACACATGCAAAGGAGCTGGATGGGCTGTGGTGGGCTGCATGTGCCTGGTGGGTGCCAGACTTCCATGCTGTCACTGGTCTGTTGTGCTAGAATCCAGGCAGAGCTGGGTAGAGCAGTGCACTTGCCGAGTTGAGCAGCAAGATGGGTTTAGAGGGAACTGGAGTTCACAAGTTGCCTGCGCTGATCTGAGCAACTGCAGTCATGAAGAAGCTGAATCCCACCACATCCCCTCCCAGGGCAAGGGAAGCCAGCAGAGCCTGGGCAGCCACAGCTGCAGGGTGCCTAAAGACCTCATACATTTGGCTGCCATTGCTGCTCCTCAGCTGCTGTACCAGCGCCCAGTGTCTGCTGCTGCTGAGCTTTGAGTTGTGCCTTGTGTGGGGAGCACAGAACCAGCACAGTGCTGCCCCACCGCTGCCCCACCACTCCAGCCAGTGCTGGACTTTGCTGCTGCCTGAAGGACCTGTCTGTACAAGTTCACCCATCCATCCAGGATCTGGAGTACCCATCACACCATCTAGAGAATGTCTGTTCGTTAGGTCTGAGGCCTGAAAAATCTCGGTCATGATTTGGAGAGGCAGCGCTGTGCCTTGAGTCATGACAGGGTGATAGTCCCTTTTCCTGGGGCACAGGGTCACTGCTGTGTCTTGGGAGAAACCAGCTCATAGAGGAGCTCTAAACCCCAAGTGAGACCATGGTGCTGATGCAGCTTTGGAGAGCTCATTTCTAAAGCTGCTCCCCAGAAAGCGATCTCCATCTTTCTTTACTTCTGCCATACCTGGTATTTTGTTAAGACAGAGGCCATTTGCACTTCTCTAGATGCTTTCTGTTAAGGAGCTCCTTACACTGAATTTTAAGGAGTTGAGCCTCAGATTGACAGACTTGTCCAGGAAATGCTGAGTAGCTCCATTCTGTGACAGAGATTGTAGCAGACCTTCTCAGCTACACGTTTCCAAACCGCCTTGGGCTCTCTTGTCTCTGTACTCACTTAAATTGAGGGTAAAACTTTTCCTGCCTTCACATGAGAGCAAAATTTCAAAGATTTTGGAGGGCTTCCTTGAAAAACTTTGGGCTCAAAGGTAATAAAAGTGAAATTTAAAATCCAGTCCAAGCAAAACCAGATGCTGGTGCACGATGGGGACCCTGCCCTGTTAACATCTCCCTCTGAACACGGCAGTGGTGGCACAGTGCTTTGTTCCCCTGACAAATTGCCCATCTCCCCAGGCTCCTGGCAGAGCTCAAGTATAAATCCTTTGGGATAATTAATAATAAAAAAAAAAAGTATGAAAATTATAGGTTATCCATTTCTAGCTTTTCTTTGATTGCATTTCTGGGTTCCTTGTCATCTTCTACATTCAGGTTTCCTGCGTGCAAGGCTCGTGTTGTAACTGGTTAGATGGTTGTGCATTGGAGGCAGGAGAAGGGTTCAGAATGCATTAAAGATCCCAGAGAAGACTCCTCCTGCTGACCACACTCGACAGACAATGCGCGCCGCAACATTCCTTCATTGTTCCGGTAGGATGCTCTGTAAATTGAGCTGTAAATAACTCTCTAAACTGTTTACTGCTAAAACCATGTTTCTGAAAGCAGAGAGCTTTCAAAAGCAATTGTATAGAGGCACAGCATGATGTGGTGGGGACGGAGGTGAAATCAGCCAAGATGGGGTGAGCACATGTGGCTGGCCCTGTCCTTCCAGCACCTTCCTCACTGATCTTACAATCATTGAACTATACAATGGTTTGGGTTGGAAGCTCATCCAGCTCCAACCCCTGCCACGGGCAGGGACACCTTCCACTAGAGCAGCTTGCTCCAAGCCCCTGTGTCCAACCTGCCCTTGAACACTGCCAGGGATGGGGCAGCCACAGCTTCTCTGGGCACCCTGTGCCAGCGCCTCAGCACCCTCACAGGGAAGAGCTTCTGCCTAAGAGCTCAGCTCAGTCTCTCTTCTGGCAGGTTAAAGCCATTAAACTCAGCTCAGTGCTGAGTGACCATGTGACCCAGCCACCAGCCAATCAACAGGGCTGATTTTGAATGTTAAACAGTGCTATAAACCAGCTTGGGCAAGATAGAGGGAAAGAATGTTTTCCTGACATTAATACTGGGAAGCAAGGACTAAGAGGGAGAAAACTGGGATGCGCTAACAGAAAGAAATAACCAGAGCAAAGTGTTTTCACCCATGTTTAGAAATAAGCCATTCTGCAGCAGCTCCTGGGCTTAGTGAAGATGTGGCTTCAGAGTGAGAGAGGAAATCACCTTAGGACTTTTGGACCACATTGTATGTTTTTGGAGGCAAAGGCTGAAAATAACAAACAAAACCAGCAGCAACAGAATCCCTTGGTAGAAGGGATATTTCCTTCATTGTGGTGGATGGATTCACATGGATATGACTGACCGCAATCCCCAAGCTGTGAGTCATCACATGCTTTGTTGTAAACTGTGGTTCTTTCTCATTTAGGCTGGATATTTCTCAATTTGCTATCTGTGAAAGCAACAACAGAAACACTCTGTGACAGTCCAGACACATTGACAGTGGTGAGAGATTTGCCATAAATATAAGCTTGTGCCCGTGGTGCAGCTTTGCTGATCTTGAGGGACCGTCAAGCATAGCAGAGGGCCAGAGCCAGTGAGGGGTTTGTTATTTAGTCTGGGGGTGTTTTGCTGAAGAAGCAGCACACTTTTCCTGTGAGATACCTGCTAGTGTGGGACGTTGCCACTCAGCTTTCTGCTAGGCATTTTTGTCTAAATACTGTCTGCACTTTAAGGCATTGCCAGAGTATAGAAGTATTTCAGTGCATAGAAATAGCAAGACCAGCTTTAACACTATTATAGCTGAAACTGCAACATGGCAAAAAAGATAAATAAGGTAGCTCAAGAATCGTGGAATCCCAGACTGATTTGGGTTGGAAAGAACCTTAAAGCTCATGTAGCTCCAGCCCCGTGCCATGGGCAGGGGCACCTCCCGCTAGAGCAGGATGCTCCAAGCCCTGTCCAGCTGGGAATGGAGTATTCACAGTTTCCTTGGACAACATGTGCCAGTGTCTCACCACTCTCACAGTAAAGAATTTTTTCCTTATATCCAACCTAAATCTCCTCTGTTTCAGTTTGAAACCATTCCACCTTGTCCTGTTGCTACATTCCCTGATGAAGAGTCCCTCTCCAGCATCCTTGTAGCCCCCTTCAGATACTGGAAGTTGCTCTGATGTCTCCACGCAGCTTCTCTTCCCCAGGATGAACAGCCCCAACTTTCTCAGCCTGTCTCCTCTATGGGAGGTGATCCAGCCCCTGATCATCCTCGTGGCCTCCTCTGGTCTTGTTCCAACAGCTCTGTGTCCTTGTTTTAATTTACTAGGACTTGCTAATATGGACTGGTCTCCTTTTTTAACCTTGAGATTGGGATTCTCTGGGGAGGTATATGGAAAGCACAGAACTGGATGGGTTAGAAAGGTCACCTAGCTGAGAGTCCCACTGCCCCCAGCCGAGCGTCAGCTCAGTCCCGTCGTACAACACTCTGCAGAGGAGGTGGAAAAAGTAGGTCAGGCTCTGCTCACAAACACACCTCTTACATGTCGCCAATTCTAATGAAATTAGGGAATGAATCAATATTAAAACCTGGGCAAAGGAGATCAAAACTTGGTTGAACTCTCCTAGGGAGAGGGAGTCCAGCTGCAACTCCTGACTAACCCGTGTCAAAAAAAGCTGTAGAAATAAAGTAAAATAGACCTGTGTGTTCTTAGAGGGAAAAAAACAGCCGCCTTCACTCA